GGGGGGGGGGGGGGCGTCTGTATTTTTAAAACTGATAGTGGTTACTGGTTTCCAACTAGTGTGGTAGTGATGGGGGTCAAATCTGAACTCACAAATAATATCAAAGAAGTGTAGTATTTATCCTTGCATGTTTTATATAGTGTAAAGGCCTGTAAAAAATCAGTATTACGTTGTCCAGTTTGTAGTCCGTAATATGTCGTGTTTTAGTGTTAGATGGATGGACTTAGTATGGCATTCTAGTTCTGTTGTCCAATCCTTCAATCATAGCTGTATGTGTATTTTTACATAATATGATTGAAAAAAACTGTCGCCAGCTGCTTGTACAATCCGTCGATCCCTGGGTACGAAATTAACTTACGACAGTTCCAACTATACGGAAGCAAGTATAAAAATCATTTCACGACAAACATTTCACGACACGTTCGCGGCAGTTACAACTATATAACCAGGCTTTAGCTTCCCCTGTTTAACCCAATGACTCACGCCACGAAACTTACCTTCCCTAACGCCAAGGCATATGTGCTCACACGATGAAAACAAAATAAAAAAGTTACGTATTTACATATTCATCAAGGAGATCAGCTGCTCCTCTCCTACAGTTTCTGTTGTGACGCCGCCTGTTGTTGTGGAAATTGTTGCGATTGTTTCATACCAAACTGCTCGCCATTCTGTTCGACGTCCTCGACCTCTATGGGTCCTGCAATCCCTATCTCGAGGTCTCGTTGAGCTCTCCAGGTTGAGAACATTTTCTGTATGTCTGCTATCATTTCCTTTTCCATTTGGTCCAAATTTGTCGCGTTCATACCCACGGCAACTGAAGAGCCTTTATTACATAGAAACACACAATTAATACATAGAAACAGTTAAATTATTGGTCCAGTGTTAATTAAATTTATACTGGATAGTTCTATCAGTTCTAAATTGTTCTTTCTAGAGATCCAGTAAGGATCATCTCTTATTGATCCAGTGTTACTACAGGAGGAAACCTAAACTAACTTTATTTATACTGGATAGCTCTATCAGTTCTAAACAGTTCTCTGTAGAGGTCCAGTAAGGATCATCTCTTATTGATCCAGTGTTACTACAGGAGGAAACCTAAACTAAACTAACTTTATTTATACTGGATAGTTCTATCAGTTCTAAACTGTTCTCTGTAGAGGTCCAGTAAAGATCATCGCTTATTGATCCAGTGTTACTATCTACAAGAGGGAACTTAAACTAAACTATATTTATACTGGATTATAGCTCTATCAGTTCTAAACTGTTCTCCCTAGAGGTCCAGTAAGAATCATCTCTTATTCACACAGTGTCACTACAGGAGGAAACCTAAACTAAACTAACTTTATTTATAACTTCATTATATTTTACCTGTTATTGCTCGCTTGTAACATTTATCCATACAAAAGAATTCCCAGATAAGACCAGTGACCAACATCACAACAACAAATCCAATACAGGCATACAAAGATGGCCAGAATATATCGCCAGTCGGGTTAAAGATACTGTCTGAGCGAGCGGCTGCCTCGTTTTCTGAGGACTAAAAAGGAAAATCATATTATTAATGGATTCTGATGGCATGTTTTTGTTACAAGCTGCCAACTGGCATTTTCTTAGAGTATATATGCTTTATACAAAGATCGCAAATAAGTATACGTAAGACATTAAAGCGAGTAGTGCGAATTTTCAAGTCGGTTTTGAGTTAAAGAGCTCAAAGTTAGCAAAATAGTTAATTAAACATTTAGCATATAAATTAGCGCATTCTCTTCATTTTTGAACGTGAAAAACTCAAAATCGGCTGCGAAAATCATACTTAATTAAATGTCTAAAAAACATACTTTTATGCGAACTTTCTAGCGGTGAACTTGAATTTTTTGCATTTTTGTCAACACATATAGTACTTTAGTAGGTAACATTTTAAAACTGAATTTTTTTATCATAAAGCCAAAATCAAAGTTGTCAACATATTTATAGTCTTCGTAAATGCATCATATGGCCATTTAGCCATGGCCAGTTATATCTGTCACGTTTTAAGGAAGAGTTACTATTTTTCGACTTTTGCAATTTTGTATTCTTTTGTATTTTAAACCTAATTCTAATCCTAACCCTTACTCTATTCCTAACCCTTACTCTAATCCTAACCCTTACTCTAATCTTAACCCTTACTCTGATCCTAACCCTTACTCTAATCATAACCGTTACTCTAATCTTAACCCTTACTCTAATCTTAACCCTTACTCTAATCCTACCCTTACTCTATAATCATAACCCTTATTCTAATCCTAATCCTAACCCTTACTCTAATCCTAACCTAACAGCCTAAAACTGTTCCCAAATCGTGACTCATATGTGGCCAGTTACAAGCTCACAAGTTATTGTCAAAAATTATTGTATGTATTTCCGCTAAACATACAATAATTTGCAGTACCTCACTTTCAATTTCATCTGTGATAAGTTCGTTTATTTCATCTGCATTGTCATCCATCTCTTTTGCATATCTTTCTCTCAGACATCTTGTCAAGTTCTCATCTCGAACCAAGATACCGTACGATCTCTTATCGACCTCAACCGTTTGAGAGATTCTGAAATCATTATCTTCAATATACTCGCTAATCTGGGCTGTCGCTGAGAAATACGAGTCCAAGAGGATACCTAAATGTAGAAAAAAAGTTGGACTAGGGAATGGCTCGGTATTGTACATCCGTGAGGTGCTGGTGTCACAGTGCCCTGGGCCTAACCCAGCCTAGTCCCAGTCGTCCTGAAGCAAGCGCGAGAAAAAAGTGGATGTAGTACGAGACTGGGAGGTGGGTGCTTCAGAACGCCTAGCAGATTTCAGTACTTTTAATATGGCGGAAAATTTATATATACATGTAACCTTTTAATTATAAATACGACAATGTTCGTTCATCATGTACATGTTCGATGTCTACATAACCAAATCAAACTGTATTAAAAATGTGCTCAACTAAAAAAAATATATATACAAATTTACGATACCGAGTTTGAGCAATCGTTGATGTTATTTATGTACTCGCAAGTTCAGTGATCAACACTAGACCATACTGATATACACAACTACGCTTTCTACTTGACAGGTTTAAATTATTGAGGAGATTGGAAATATTTGCCTGACATGACGGTGTTGTCAAAAACATTCTTAGTCGGAGACTCGGGATAATTTTCAAGCTTTTAGATAGCATTTAATATGGCTATATATTTTAGTAAACACGAGTCATATTTAGCCAGTTATTCCATTCTGACCGTATGGCAGCGAAACGTAGCCTACTTCATTGTTCCGATAGCATTAGAGCAAAACTAATGACTTAATTATAAATGTAAAGGAAATTTCCATAACATTTTCGATTTACAAATGAGGTATGCTTGGTAACCAGGCCAGGGACCACTTTTTTGAAATCAGGGACCATTTTACCGAAATCTGCTAGGCTCTCTCGCTGAAGCGTTCCGCACAGCACACCCAGGCATAAAACTTTTAAGACTTATTTAAATATATCAAAGCAGCGAATAGAGAGAGAGAGCCTGGGACTAGGCTGAGCCTAACCCTAACCCATGGCTAGTATACATGTGTCTTTCATCACCATGACAATGGTACGATTCCTGCAGGATGCAATCATCCAGTTATAATTTCGCCTCAATCGTATGTCAGAAGAGTGCTTTCAAATTCTACACACGTAAAAACGCACAAGTTTCTAGTTACAGGTCTGCAAACAAGTTGTTACAAATCTGTTCACAAGCTGTCAACAAGTTGTGTTCGCACTGCTTATTCCCAGTTGTTGTAACAAGTTTGCAGCAAGCTGTTAACAACTTGTAACAAGCTTGATGGCATTATCAGACTTGTTACAAAGTTATTATAACAAGTCTGATACAGTCATGATATAAGAAGAATGTTCCAAAGTTGACGACCCAAGGTTGTAAAAATATTGCTATTTCATTACTGTATCGGACTTGTTGGAACAACCTTGCAACCAGTTAGCCAGGCTCATTACTCTAGTTCCTATATGTTACAGTGTATTTAAGTTCAAAGTTGGTGTATTTTAATACTCTCTCATTCAATAAATGATCCAAGCTATCGACTAATTTTTAGCCCGACAAGAAGGACGAAATCTATCATTATAATTCAAAAGAGCATCCTAAAAATAGTAAAATTGCAAAGTTTGGTTGCGAAATGTTGTAAAATACACAAAATATAGCCCTGTGAAATTAGTAAATTTTGAGTATTTTAGTATTACTCGCGGAAAAATGCACCACTTTCGGCTCAAATTTGCTAATTTAATCGGGGTATATTTTCCGTATTTTACAACATTTCGCAACCCAACTTAGCAATTTTACTAATTTTACGATGCTCTTTTGAGCTATGATGATATATTTCGTCTTTCTTGTCTAGATCAAAAATTAGTCGACAGCTGGAGTTATCTATTCTCTCTCCAGAACTTTGGGAATGAGCAGTTCCTTTGTGAACGCAGATGTAAATAAAATAGTTTTTTAATTAAAGAATTAATAAGCGTCGCATCCGACTCCATGGCGCTTAAATGAATATAAATATGTTATGACCAGTGTGGAATGGAAAAAATAAAATGTATATTACCTTCAACAGCATCGTTATCTAAAGCACGCCATAAGTCTTTGGTGGAATTATAATCTAAAAAGAAAACAAAGAACGTTTGGCTGAGTTTCATATCTAACTTTTCCCATGCAA